TTTAGCACAAAAAGTCTTTTCTGAGGCATATTACAATCAAACTATTAAAGGTGGAAGACAAAAACATTTAAAAGCATTAAGAGAAAAGCATCAGGTCACATATAAGGGAATCTTAATTAGACTATCAATAGATTTCTCAGCAGAAACCTTGCAGGCCAGGAAAGAATGGGATAACATATTCAAAGTGCTGGAAGAAAAAAACTATCAGCCTAGAATCCTATTCCGAGCTAAGCTTTCCTTTAGAAAGAGGGAGATACCAGGTGTTTCCCAGATAAGCAAAAGCTAAGGTAACTCATCACCATTAGACTGGACTTATAAGAAACGCGTAGGGGAGTGCTTTGACATATGATGTATAAATCTCACTGGTAGAGGTAAATTCATTATCAAATTCAGAATACTTCATTACTATAATGGTGGTATATAATCTTTCAAATCTCTAGTATGAAGATGAAAAGTCAAAATGGTCAATGATACTACAGCTATAGGTTGTTAAGGAACAAACAGTATATAAAAATGTAAATTAAGGCAGAAAATGATAAACTGTTGGGGAGAGAACAAAAGGCTAGAGTATTTGTATGCAACCAAAGTTGTTATTAGCTTAAAAGACTATTATAATTTTTAAATGTAAGCCCCATAGTAATCATAAAGAAAAAATTACAGCAGACACATAAATAAGAAAGAGAAAGAAATCAAAGCTCATCACTACAAAAAAAAATTAATGAAACTACAAGGTAAACAATGAGAGAGAAAAAAAGAAATAATGGATATACAAAACAACCAGAAAACAATGAACAAAATGGCAGAAGTCCTTACCTGTTGATAATAAACTTGAATGTCAATGGATTAAATTCCCAATTAAAAGATGTAGAGTGGCTGAATGGATAAAAAATAAAACTCAATAATATGCTGTCTACAAGAGACTCAATTCATCTGTAAGGACACACATAGACAGAAGGAGAAGAAATAGAAAATGGTATTTCATGCAAAGGGAAGCCAAAAGAGAGCAGTATAGCTATACTTATATCAGACAAAAATAGACTTTAAGTCAAAAACTGTAAAAAGAGACAAAGAGGTCATTATATAATGATAAAGGAATCAATTCAGCAAGAGGATATAACAGTTATAAGTATATATGCATCCAACACTAGAGCACCCAAATATAAATATATGTGTGTTTGTGTGTGTGTGTATGTGTGTGTAGTGATCTAAAGGGAGAGACTGAAATACAATAGTAGGTGACTTTAACATCACATTTTCAGCATTGTACAGATCATTCAGACAGAAAATCAACAAAGAAACATATGATTTAAAGTACATTCTAGACCAAACGGACCTAACAGACATTTATTTACAGAACATTCCACCCACCAGGTATAGAATACACATTTTTTACAACAGCACATAGAACTTTCTCCAAGATAGATTATATGTTAGGCTACAAAACAAGAGTCAACAAATTTTTAAAAACTAAAATCATATCAAAGATCTCATCTGACCACAACAGAATAAAACTAGAAACCAGTAACAAGAAGAAATTTGGCAACTACACAAATATGTGGAAATTAAAAAGGAAATTTAGATTCCTTGGGACAAGTGAAAATGGAAATACAACATATCCAAACCTGTGGGATACATAAAAATAATTCTAAGAGTGAAGTTTATAGCAATATATGCCTACATAAAAAAACAGAAGAATCTCATATAAACAACTTAATGATTCACTTCAAGGAAATAGAAAAATAAGCACAAACTGAACCCAAAACTAGTAGAAGAAATAATAAAGATCAAGCAGAAGTAACTGAAATAAAGACCAAAAGAAAAAAAAAATACAAAAGATCAATGGAACAGACTTGATTTTTTAAAAAAGATAAACAAAATAAACAACTCTTTAGCTAGACCACTATCCGTCACCATGTACAAAACTCAGCTCAAAATAGATAAAAGATTTAAATTTAAGACTCCAAACTATAAACCTACTAGAAGAAAACATAGGGGAAACACTTCATGATATTGGTTGGGCAAGGATTTTTTTGGGCAAAAAGTGTTTTGGATAATAACTTAAAAGCACAGGCAACAAAAGCAAATATAGACAAATGGGACTATATTAAACTAAAATGCTTTTGTATAGCAAAGGAAACACACAACAGAGTGTAGAGAAAATCTACAGAATGGGAGAAAATATTGTAAATAGGTATCTGACAATGGGTAGAGCCCAGAATATATGAAGAACCCAAGCAACTCAATAATAAAAAACAAATAATTCAATTAAAAAATGGGCAAAAGGCTTGAATAGACATTTCTGTAAAGAAAACATACAAATGGCCAATAGGTATATGAAAAAATGCTCAACATTACTAATCAACAGGTAAGTGCAAACCAATACCACAATGAGACATTATCTCTGTCCATTTAGAATGATTATCATCAAAAAGACAAAAAATAAATGCTGTGGTGGATGTGAATAAAGGGGAATTCATATACACTGTTGTTGGGAATATAAACTAGTACAGCCATATAAAAAACAGTATGGAGATTCCTCAAAAAATTAAAAATAAAATTACCATAGGACCTAGAAATCTTACTGTTTATGTGTCCAAAGGAAATAAAATAAGTATGTAGAAATAATATTTGTGCTCTCATGTTTACTGCAGTACTACTCACAATAGCTAAGATATGGAATCAACCTAAATGTCCATCAACAGATGAACGGATAAAGAAAATGCTACATATATACATAATGGAATACTATTCAGCCATAAAAAATCCTGTAATTTGTGGCAACATGAATGGGCCTAAAGGACATTATGTTAAATGACATAAACCAGACTCAGAAAGATAAATACTGCATGATTTTACATGTATGTGGAATCTAAAAAAGCTGATCTCATAGAAGTAGAGAGCAGAATAGTGGTTACTAGAAGCTCGGTAAGATCCATGGGAGAAAGGACAAAAACTGGTCAACGAGTACAAAGTTAGAGTTAGATAGAAGGAGTAAGTTCTGGCACAGTAGTTAACAATATTGTATTGCATATTTTAAAACAGCGGGAATAGAGAATTTTAAATGTTCTTACCACAAAGAAATGATCAATGTTTAAGGTGATAGATATGCTAAATACCCTGATTTCATCATTATACAATGCATACATGTATCAAAACATCACACTACCCCATAAACATGTACAATTAGTATGAACCAATTAAAAAGAAAACTAAAAGAAAATAATTTGATAGCTAGAGATTTCTATTATCTACTTGACTATTTCTCCTAAGTAGAAGAGTAAAAATAGCTGGAAAGAGGTTATGGTGTTCAAGGAAAGTGGCAAAGAGCATACCAAGGAGATGACACATGGACAGAAATGCTTTGACACCAGCTGGCCTCATGCAACACTAAAACTTATTAAAGCTATCAAATGAATAGCAGTGCAGGAAAGCTTACAGCCTCATATAGTCCTCCTTGAAATGTTTCCCAGAATAGGGACAAACATCAAAGGCCTTCTTGGAAAAGCACAACAGTTGGAAATCTTCATCCAATGCTTTGTTGGACATACCTTCATTCAAAAAATATTGAAAAATTGAAAACCTTCTAGAAAGTAAGCTTAATCACTAGACATGGTGAGATCAGGGGTAGGCTTTGTCTTTTGTGGAACACATGTACAAGCAAAATAAGGTAAAGTATGGTGAATAACTGGAAGATATTTAGTGTGGCTAAAAATTCTAGAGAGTAGTGGAACAATATGATGACCATATACACATCAGGGGGATCTAGATACTTGAGTGCCTCAAAAGCCATGTTAAGGGTTTGAGTTGGATTGTATCTTAATCAATGTAAAAACACGGAAGGATTTTTATTTGAGTTTATTAAAAATTTTTTCAGAGCAATACATGCACAAGGTAAAAAATTAAATATTACAGGACTTAAAATGAAAAACACAGTTTCTCACCTACGCTTTTTAATCCTAGCCCAATTCCCTAGAGAAAATGCTTTTAACAATATCTAATTTTAGATCATCTGGTAACTAACTCCCTAGCTTTAAATAATATGTTTGAACAATAATTTCTTGACTTATTAGCTTTAGGCAATCTTTAATAACTCCCCATTACAAAAGATAAGGATTTAACTTTCTCCATCACCACTTTCCTTTGCCCATCCTTCTCTAAATGTTTGATAGATATATCACTTTTTAATACTTCTATTGGATTAATTTATAGCTTTGAATAATACACTAATTCTCTAGTTCTTGTTCCCTTAACTGAAGATCTTTTTATCCCTACTTTGAATATATAAGTAGCCCTATTCTTCCTTCCACCTTTCTTCCCCCAACTAATTCTCAACCTTTTTCTGCATTCTTTTTCCTTGCCAGCATTAATTACTTTCAATTTCAGTTCTGAGTAAAAAATTAAGCCTTACATGTTTTGTCAATATGCTGATCAGAACACTGAATAGCAAGAAATGACATCTGTTATTTTGGCTATGTAAATACTTCTCACTGAGAGACAAGTAGAAGCTAGGATATTTTCTTCCCTATACACTCAATGGCACGATGCCTGTGCCACAGAAAAGGAAATGTACCTACCGCCAATGTCAAATTGAGTCTCTTTTATGCGCCCTGCGTAACTCAAAATCATGCCCCATATTATTTTGTTTCATAGTTGGGCTGAATTTCTTGAGATATTTTTGATTTATCTTTGTTTTCTCTTGACTAAGGAATGTTCTTAAACATTCCAGCTTCTCAATGACACTATCTATGGCACAGAGTGAACATTCTTCCCAGAAAGCCCAAGACTGTGCTTTCATCTGAAATGGGTCTGCTCAGTAACTGTCGCTCTAGGCTGAGACATCCTGAGTGAGGTCCATTGTTCTCTGGATCCCATTTCTTCTGCCTTCCTGGTTTTCATTCTCATTTTACTGGAGATCTTCCTCAGTAAAGTTGCAAAAGAGGTAGACTTTCTGAAAATTTGCATGTCAGAAAATGTCTTCATTTTGATGTTACACTTGATGCTTTCTTTCCCTTGCTATGAAATTCTGGGTACAAAAATTTCCCATAATCTGTGCGAAGACTTTGCTCCATTGACTTGTAGCATTCAGTGTTGCTGATAAAAAATCTGCTGCCAGTCTATTTCTTATCCCTTTTTTGTTGAGCTAATCAGGATAACCTAATTTTGTTTTTACTTTTGGATGCTTTTAATATCTTCCCTCTGGGCTTAATATTATAAAATTTCACAAGATTATGTCTAGATATAGGATGTATTTGGCCCCCTCCAATCTGGAGACTTTGCTCTATTCTTTAATTCTTTTCTTTTTATTTCTTCATCTATATTTTCTACGTTCTCTCCTCCAGGAACTCCTAACAATTAGATATTGATTGCCTGTGTCTCTTTCCTTTCTCCATATATTGTTCATTTCTTTTCTCCATATATTGTTTATTTCTGCATCTGGGGGTATTCTTTCAACTTTGTTTTCTAGCCTGTCTAATGAATACTTTTGGCAGTCTTATTTCACTTTCAAAGGGTTCTTCTTCTCAGAGTTTTATCTTTCTTTGTGGTATCCTGTTTTCATCTTACAAATATACTTCAAATCTCTCTGAAGATATAGGTAGAATTTTAGGCTATTTTTTCCACACAAACTTTGTTTACCTCAGAGTTTGTCATATTTTGAAACCCCCTAATACCATCTGGTGATTTTCTTTTTTTAATGCTTCTTCACTGCTCTTCCCTCCCTTCCACCTATGGGAATTCCTAGCTGATCATTTAAGATCCACGTAACTGTTAACTTTTATAAGAGTTGGTGTGGGTTTTCTCTGCTTTTATATGGACAGGTCTGTTACTCCAGTAAGCTTCTTCATGCCTGGAGGTACTGGGCACTTGAGTAGGGGTCTAAACTGTCAGGAGAGAATTAGCTGATAGGTTGGGGGCCACTAATTTCCAAAAAAGGAGGAATTTTATTCTGGAACACCAACTCTTACCTCTCCTCAGGCAGTTTATTCAATTCCTTCATACAAACGACAACAACAACAACACATTTTTAACTGATACCGATAGTAGGCTGCTTGTGTTCTATGCACAAGGGTAGGGGTAGAGTAGGATGGGGTTTAATTTTACAATGACTGTAATTCTTTAGTACATAAAGTTTTCAGGTCTCAAGTCTCTTTGGGGTTACAATGTCCAGATCAGCTTATATTCTGTCTGAAAGGTACCTTTACTTGTTCACTCATTATCTTGCTTCATCCACTTTCTCTCTTCCAGAAATGTGTTGAGATCTTCTCCACTTATAACCAAATCCCTTCAGTTTTCTTTGCTGAGATGTGTCAATTTCCTTTTGCGTTTCTTGACTTCAATTTCAGTGGGGCCTGAGGAGGGAGGGGAAGTAAACTTACATGTTCAGTCCATCATCTTAAATTGGAAATTCCACTGGAGGCTTTTAGATAGGGGAGTAACATGAATAACTATATTTTTAAAAGATCCCCGGGCTGTACTAATAGGCTGTACTGCTAAAATTTGAGGGCAAGAAAAAAAAAAAAGGACAAGAATGGACACAAACATTATTCTAAAAGATTGAGAGCTAATTTCCTTTCTGAGAACATGCAGTGTCTGGGACCTTTGGGAGTCAGGAACTTTACTAAAACAGCCCATAATTCAAAATCCAATAAAGAGAATGCTTTCGTGGTGCCCTGAAGAGAATGACTAAAACTTGAATAACCCAGAGCCTAAAAGACTTGGCCAATGCTAAAGGGCTCATCCCAGTAGTGTCTGCTGGGAAGCACTTGAGGAGCCTACATTAAATTCTTCCTTTGAACTGGCATTTGGAATAAACAGGGGATTGTTCGTTTGGAAAAAATTAGGTGAGGGATAAATATGAGCAGTGAAAGCTCTGCCAAGTAGGAACATAGCAGCCCTTCTGTTTGCTGGTTGGTTCATTTATTTACCCATTTATTTGATCATTCAAAGGACTGTAGTTATCAATGTCCATTCTATAATGAGAGTGTCTGGGTTCAAATCCCAGATCATTCACTTATTAGCAATATAGCCTTCTACAATTTACTTAATATCCATAAAATTCAGTTCTCTCCTTCATGAAATGGGAGTGATAATAGTTTCTACCTCATGAAATTATTGTGAAGATCAAATAAAACAATCTATATAAAAGAACCAGTACAATAGATGGCACATACTCAACACACTATAATTGATAGCTGTTATTTCAAATGTTGAATGAATACTCACCATCTATTAGGCTCAAAGAACCTAGACAATAGATATTCATGAAATAAAGGGAAATAATTATATGATTAAGAAATGATATAATAAAGAAATCCAAAAAAAACCCATGATATATTTCAAATCTTATTGATTCCACATCCACCCATTACCAATTATGCAAATAAAATGGCATACTGAAATAATTTAATCAAAAGAAGGGAGCTAAAGGGAAACTGGCTAGATGTACACAACATCAATCCTAGGGACCCAACTCTAGTTAAGACTATAAAGGAATGGGAATTTCTTCTAAATAAAATTAGAAGAAAACTTAGGAGAATCTTTGACTTGAGGTAATTAAATGAAGTTTGGGTCAGCTCTATGCATAATTGTTTCAAAGTCAAGTCCTCTATGTGTGTGGACTTCCGCTGCCAAACCGGTGAGTAACTCTTGCGAGTGACTGTCTTGAGTTTGTGTCAATACAGAAAGAGAAACACCATCACGAAGCCAGATGCCTAGTGTTTGCAAAGGACAAACACTGCCATGAAATTGTTTTGTTTTCTTTAAGACTTCCATTCTTGATTTAATCAAAGAAGGAATTTGATCTGAAAGATAGAATTAGGTAAAGAGACCAAACCCTAAGTAGCTTTAAAAACTCCCATTGTGAATTTAGAGTTTTTCCTTTAGGTTCATAAAGCAACATACCAGAATCCAGAATCCATAGGTTGCTGTATAAAGTGGAGGATGGAATAAAATTAACTATGACTGTCTCTGTAAATACCACCTAAAAGTGGAGCCTAGGTCTCAATATCAAGTTAATTCAATAATAATAATGACGGCTGACATTTTCTCAACACCTACTCACTGCCAGCTATTGTTCTCATCACTTTTAGAGGTACCATAAAATTTAATCTTCACAATAATCCTATGAAATAGATCCCATTTTATAGATGAGAAAACTGAGTCACAGCAAAAGTTAAGGAACTTGCCCAGGTTATATAACTAGTAGATAAAAAAAACAGGATTTGGATGTGGGGGACCTACTCTTAGAGATGATGATCTCAACTCTAAGCTCTAGGGAGAGGATGGGAAGTAATAAGCTCGTTATCCTGTGGACCAGGAGAAAACAGAACCACCCCCTAGATGGCATGCAGTGCAGAGCTCACAGACCTCTTCAGAATTATCAATCTGAACCTTCACGACAACTCTGGGAGGGATTTTTATCCCCATTTCATACACAAGAAATGGGAGTGCAAAGATAAAATGACTATCCCAAGAGGTAACTCTAATTCTGGGCTCTTCCCATTATACCAGACTGCTTTTCAAGCACTTTGAAAACTACTCAAGACATAAAATATATGACTCACGAGGGAGCTGTCTGGTTCTCATGGTAAGTTTGTGTACCACTTGAGTTCTATGGTCAGGTTTTTAGAACAACTGGTCAAAAATAAAAGGCCAGGGAGTCCTGAGGATGTAAGGTGAGAATTTGGGATATCCCTATGGGATATGGCCCACGATGGGGAATCAAGGGCCGACAAAAAACAGGTGCTAAAGCTCTCAGAAATGGGCCAATAAAGGGTAAGGAGGGAATTTGACAGCTGAGAGCAGAGAAACAAGACTCATAAACAGAGGCCCTGTTCCTGAGAAAATCTGGTTCTACTTTGGGCTATGTTCTTAACCCACTCTAGGAAGAAAAGTTAACCCACTTCCTAGAGTGGGTTAGGAAGTCAGCAATAAGGTACGGGGGCAGTGAGCCAAGAGGACAAGGCCAGACACTAGGAGGCAGAGGTAGAGGAGTAAATCCCCATCTCTGCCTACCTCCCCAAACCTCTCTACCTGCCACCTCGATGGGCACTCCTTACATCTGTGTGAGGAGGTATAATTTCATAATATTTTCCTTCCATTCAGGCAGATAGGCCAGGCTGGTAGCCACTTCCTTCTGGATAGGCCAGGCCCAGGCCTCAAAGAACGGAGCCAGGTTCTTCTGCACTTGGTCGGAGAACATCTTGACCCACAGATTCATTTTGTCGACATTGTCTGTAGGCAAGTTGGTCTGGTTCCTATACTCAGTGAAGAGACGGATGAAGGGCTCCCACCCAAATGCCTCCTGTAGCTGGAAAGAGAGAGAAAAATCAAGATGAGACATCTAATCTACAAAAAGAGGTTCCAACAAACACTATAATAAGTGAGTTAAATGTATTTAACCCCATATCATCAGCTTCATATCTTTCACTGAGCTTCTCTCCTCCATTTTGCCTACTGGCCTCACACCCTGCTCCCCCCCCCCACATTCTAATCTTAAGAAGGGCCTTGGGGCTAGCACGGTGCTTGGCACAAGGTAGACACTTAATCAGTGAGGCCTGTGGTAATACAGTGATTCTGATCACTATTTACTACCAGTATCATCATTCATATATCTCACTAGATCATGAAAGAAGTGATAGGATAGTATACAGGGACTTGAAATTGGCTACAGAAAAACCCCTTTACCTTTCACAGTTGCAAAGTTAAACTCCAACAATTGGGAAACTACCACCCTTATCCTGACAATGAAATACTTATTAAGCGTAGGTCTGTGTCCATTTGCAAGGCTACTAAAATGGTCTTTGGAGAAAAAAGTGAGTCAGGTAGAAGCAGAAGACTGTAGACCGGTAGCAAGAATTAAAAGTAAGTTACAATTTTAGACAAAGACAGCCATCCTGAAACTACTGGAAATAGCCAATGTTAGCTAGAGTTAAGAGCTTGAGTTAAGAGGGACTTGAACAGTTCCCTAGACCAAGCGGCCAACTTTATTTCACTGATGAGGAACTTTTGTTCCTGGCACAAAGCAGCAGTAAAAGGTTAAAATAGAGCCTCCCTGGCTGTTTCCCATCATTCTCATGGCAGTGGGAATGAACAGAGAGGAACTGGAGCAGGTGGAAGAACCAGAATAGAGTATGCCTGGCTTGAGACTGAGATCCAGAATTCAAGGTGATGAAATTCTCCAGTGTGCCAGGAAGTGCTCCAGGCACTGGGGAGACAGAACTAGGGCACAGAACAAGAGTTCAGAGGCAAAGGCAACATCCATGTCCAGGTCAGGGAGGAATCTTGGATTTCCTACACAAGGTGGGGTCTGAAGCAAAGCCAAGTCACAAGAAGAAGATGGTATATTCATCTAAGGAAAAAACAAGGCATATCGCATGTATTATGTATGTGGCAGGGGGACTGTATTGTTTGGTTTTAGATAGCTATTAAGTATGAGAGTTTGGCTTTAATCTCAGGTGTGTCTGGCTTTAAAACCAGGGGAAACAAGTATATTTATAGTACTACATTTGCCTATACCATTTTTAACCTTGCCCAGTGCTTTCTATATACCCTCACGTCGTATCTCTCTGAGGCGGAGGGTGAAGCTGAGGCTACTGAGACCACCTCAGGGTCACGCAAAGCAATCCACTGAGAGGTAGCCTCAAAGAGGACTGTCACACTGGGGCTTTTGCAGGGCCTCCTGCGGCTTAGTGTGGGAGACAGGTGCAGTGGGAGATCTCTTGGTCACTAGACCATCACCAAACAATGTTGCCCTGGTGGTTCCCATAGTAGAGGGCTCCCATCACCCCTTTGCCCAGTACCTGTAAATACGTTTCCAGTGCAGTCCACGCATTCCAGTTTTTCAAATTGGGACCCTTGCTCAGGTAGATTCTGACTCTCTTTTCCCGAACTGGGGGCCACAGGGCAATATTGGCACGGGCTCGAGGGATGCCCAAGACTGTTTCATGCACATAAACACACCACAGGTTGCAGGTGGCCTCGGTGGTATGTGGGGGGAACTCCCACTCCTGCCGCTGCTGGTTGCGGCCCAGCTCGTGGACAGGGCCCCACAGCCCCTTAGTTCTGATGAGCTTCTCGTTGATGAGCTCCTGCACTGACTCCAGATGGCACATGATGGGGTACCCTGCATGCATCCAGCCTGGAGATGCAGGAGGGAGGAAGACAGGGTTAGGGTTCCTCCCCACTCAACTCATTAAATTCTCTTCTGTATTGCTTCTTTCAAAATACCCAGTAACCCCAGGCAACTTCTGGCACCCCATATGCTCAGAAGGCCCTCCCGGGCTTCCTCTCATTTTGTAAGAACACCTTTATCTCACTCAGATCTGAAACAAGAAGTCATGTGGCTATGGGAGAGGATGCAGGCTATAAAGAGTCATTGATGTGACCATCCAATTTTTCTATTTTTATGAGGGTACCTTATCCATGTGAACCTGTGTCATTAAACCCTTTTCTCAAAATTCACAACTCTTTGAGGGTGAATGAGAGGGGTGGTCCCTCCTCTCATTATTTAGATATGGAGTTGCCCACATGGATACTACTTCACTACATAAGCCAAGAAAATGAGGGTCCTTAATGTCTATATGCCTCCCTCATTATTTAAGGCTCCTTGACCCATAGGCCATGTCTTCTCAAAGTTGTAAAATTCCCTCTCCCAACCACTCTGACCTAGGTCAAGGCCCTCCACCTTTTTTATCCACTACTTGGAGTCCCCCAGTAGACACCTGTGGAAGCTCAGGTGACATCTCTTGACACACTGACTTAAACTGCTATTTATTCCTTACATACATTTTTTTCCTTTCCCTTTATACAGCAAGAACTACATCTCTATGTCTTGCTAGCAGAACATTTTTACCCTTCTGGCTGACCACTGCACGGGTGCTGAAAAGGGGGGCACTTGGAGGCAGCATGCATGGAGGGCTGGCTCAGAGCACGCACCAACTGAGATCTGCACGTCCGCAACAATCCTCTGAGGCAGACGCAAGGGGAAGGGCTCGGCTCCCAGTCGGGCCACGGCCTGCATCACCTCATCCCAGAGGCGAAGCACTGGCTCCGGGTTCTCCAGAGTACGGAGGTTTGCGGTCGGCACCGTCAGGATGATGTTGTCCGTGGACAGCTCTCCCCAGGGCCCTGGGTTCTCCTGGATGCGCCTCTTCCACTCCTCCTGGGATGTCTCCCCTAGGAAGAGAGGCCGTGGGGCTTGAATCACACTTCCAAATCCTGTATAAACTTGGGCCCCAGGAGGACAACATCAAGATCATGAACAACTATATCCCTCCTCTCTGTTCTTCTTCTATGAAGCCCCCATGGATGTGGTCTGGTCTTTGTCTCAGTGGCCCCAAGCTGCATATAAGGAAGCCAAGCCCCCTTCCTCAACTGATGTGTCTCTCTCCTTCTACACCAAACAGCGCCCAGTCACTTCCCTCTCCCTCAGGGTGCACCCCAGAGCTTCCACTCACCCAGCTTGTAGTAGGGAGCATGCACAGCCCCCTTCACGGTGATGGGCACAGAACCCAGTTTGCTGCTCTGAGGCACAATGATATAGAGAAGGCCGCCCCAGAGGCAGGTGATAGATTTCGTGGGTTTGTCCAGGCAGCACCGGTTGATCACGAGGGGGCCTCGGAACAGCTTGCTGGCTCTGGTCAGGTCATCCGTGTGGCAGCCAATCTGTATCTGCAGCAGACAGAGCACCCCCATGGAGTCACCACAGGGTATATGTGGGTAGGAGAAGACAGGCCAGGAGGTGAAGACTGAGCAAGGGTCATTAAGCCATGACCCTATGCAAGCCTGGCCTTTTTAAAACCCTGCAACTGAGCATTCCTTGAGGTCATTATGTGCAAGCATTCTCCTGAGGGCTTGTGAAGCCTCAGGAGTAACCTGTAAGGCCAATTCTGAGGAACACTAACTCCCACAAACGGCCCTTTGGTGCCTCTATAACAAGTCCTGGGTTGCACATTCCATGGTGGTGTTCCTAGAATTTGGGCTGGGACAGAGGGAACCCTGCCTTTTGCTAATTAGAGAGAGGGCCCAGTGGGAGGCAGTGTGGCCAGCTAGTGTAGTGGAGGGTTGATTCAATTCCTCCCTGCTCTCCAAGGCCCCCTTCTTGGGCAGGTACTTGGTAGAACTCTGACATTGTTTTCCCTAGGTTTATGCTAAACCAGTTCCAGGATGCAAACAGGCACAGAGCAGACCCTACCCATAACAGTGACTGTCAAAGGGACAGAGCAGGATAACAAATTAATTTTGCAAATAGAGTTTGTATATATGAAAGTGACAGAGCAGAAGGTGGATCGAGCAATCGAGGAATAGCCTTTGGTGTCATGTGGAAGCAGCCAGAGTCAGAAAGACCTTGTGCTACTGTGGGAAATGTACCTGGGGATCGAAAGTGAACTAAGGTTTACTGAATGCCTAGTGTGTGCTAGGAACCCTTCCATTCGATATCTCTCTTATTCCCCAATCCATGACATAAGTCAAAAGCACAAAACTTAAGAGCCAGAGTTGGTTGGGTTTGAATCCTGGGCTCTACAATGTGTCAGTTCTGTATGTTTAAATCAATAAGTTTTTCTGTACCTTAGTTGCCTCATCCTTAAAATAGGTGTACAAATACCTGTCTTGTATTGCCAATAGGGTTTTATGAGAATCAAATACGGTGCTGACTGTGCAAGCAAGAGCCTTTGGGTTCCATGTCTCATGGTGAGACAGGGCAGGGCCTTACCTTCAGGTCGGCAGAGGCAGCAGCTTCAGGTAACGAGACTTCTATGATCTGCCTGGAAGGTATGTAGAGCCCCGTACTCATCCAGCAGTATCTGGTGCCTGCCAAAGGCACAGAAAGAGCATGCTGACTTCATCCCTCCTCCATGATCTCATTTCCACTCTGCATTTCCAGAGACCTGTCCTGACCTCTGCTCATTTCTCCCCGGCTCATGCTGCCCCGACTCAAATGTTCCCAAAATCCCAACCCTGGCCTTCTCCGCAGTACACGGCAAAGGATGGAGACTGCCCTCTGGAGGTGATGAGACCCCTGCAATGAGCCGCTGAAGTCACCCTGTCCCCATAATACTGAGCTCCCTCCCAGCCCCATCCCTTACCTGGATTGGTGCAGTCGACCTCCACGGTGATGGGAGATTCTGAGGGGCGCAGATAGAGACTGCTGTATATGTCTTCAATTTCTGGGACTAGCAGAGAGAGGTCACTTCCAGAGTGGGCCAAACCCGTGGCCAGGGAAAGCATAGCACCCCTGCAGCAGTCATTGATAACAGGGTTCTCTCGGGTGGCCACCGGGAGCCGATACCGACTTAGCAGCTTCCGCAGCAGCCGGTGCACAGACATGTAGGCAGGGATCTCTTCCGCGGGAATCTGAAGGAAAGCTGCGCCGTCAGGGCCCAGCTTTGCCAGCCAGCCCTTTTCCACATTTCCTCTCTTCCTGCCCATTATAACCTGGAACTCGGCCAAGGTGGAGCGGAAGTGATAGGTCCTTATCCCTGCTTTAGGAGTACGAAAGGGGCCTGGGTTGAGGCTTTGGCTTGTGATGCTGATGCCAAAGGGGTTGAGGAGGAGGTTTCCTGGGAATCGAGCCAAAGGGGATACTCCTGGGTTCTTGAAGGCCCACCACCAGGCTTGGGCTCCAACAAATAGTCCACCACCCTCTGCTACAAACTCCTGCAGCTCTTTAACCCCCACTTCACTCGTGGGTTCAAAGCAATAGACACTTGCATCACTGGTCAGATTGGGTTCAATGCTGGTGTCTATCCCCCCCACAGCAAGCAGGCCACTCAGTGTTCTCAGCTCTGTCTGCACCACGATCTTGCCTCTACGGCCCCCATCCAGCCAGCGGACAGCATTGAGCAGAAAGGGACCCAGTTTACTAACAGTGAATAATACCTTATGGCCAGTCACAACCACCCGGCCCCGGCCATAGCGGGCAGCTGCTATGACACAGCCATGGTAGGTATCTAAACCCAGGGGAAAGGCTAAAGCCCCATGCACTAGCAGCTGAGATGGGAAACAATCCGAGTTGGTGATGTCCAGCTCTGAAATCCCATGCAGGAGCTCCTCTCTGTCCTCGGAGAGGTCATCTTCGCAACTGCAAAAGATACATGCATTCTCTATTAGAGGAATGGCTCTATAGAAAGCTCCTACAACAGCGATAGGCATACAGTAGGCACTAAAGATATGCCAGCTTTGCTAACATTGTTATTTTTATCTCTTACAGGAGAATTGGGAGAACAAAGTGGGTAGATGTGACTTCACTGAGTATGGAGATTTGGAGGGAAGATAGAGGGACTTGGCATTAATTCTGCTCTACTCATTCTCTGAGCACAAATTCTCCAAAGGAAATTGCAAAGGCAGTCTTGCTGTGTTTTCCCAATATTATATTTTAAATATTCTAGATTTAAGTTCATGTTTATTTCGGCCCTTTAAACATTTGTTTTTTTCCTTATAAGGAGTCTTGTATATAAATTTCATGCAGCTAAATACAGATAAAGTCTATGGAAAGCTAAGTTAGTGGCGCTATAGAAGAATCATCATTATCTCAAAAGGTGGGCAGGGGAGCTAACTGGCCTAAACTCTAGTGAGACGGTTTGGTTACCCGAACCCAAGAGGACTTGACTGTCTACATCTAGAACTGCATTCATACACCGCCTGCCCAGTTGGAGTGACGCACATCCATGCTATAAGGTTTTGCTCAGCACCAGCTGTTTGCTGTAGAAGACCTCAGGATTCTGACAATCCCTAAATGGGAGATGGAGCATGGATACCCAGTGAGATTTTGGGGGATATGGGGTGGAGTGACCCCTATAAGCTTGCAATTCCAGAGCTGGTTCTTCCACTTTTTGTTAGGTAAACCTGTGGCAAATGTATGGTCAGAAGGTGGCCATAAGGAAACAACAAAAGAAAGTGAGTCAGGTAGACAAAAGCACCCCCCTACTCATGGAGATGACTCTCTAACTCCTTGAAGCATGAACCATTAAAACCATTCAACTAGCTCTTCTTGCTCTCATTCCAGGCTGACCAAGCCATTTGTGATTATGATACTGCTTCCCATGATCAGCAGCCTAATGAGAGGAAGAAGTCATTGGCCAGGCCAGCCAGGGTGTTCTAGTTTTTGACATTTATTTTTCTCAAGTAACATCTTAGACAATCTACCTTTAATTTGGTGATTCTAAAATTAAAAAACCCTTTTTATTTTAGTATATTAAATGTATATATAAAATTAAATGAAAAAATTTGTTTTAATTCTTATAATAAGTTCATGTTCATAAATGCCCATACAGTAGAGACTGCCTGAATAAACTATGGTATATGCAGAATGGAGTATAATACCATTACATTAATAGAAAAAAATAAGAAAAATTTCTAAATATTGTTAAAAAATAACTACCAAGATACAGTAATTGAAAAAAAGCATTGCACCATAAACATATAACAAATACAAATTAGATTAAAGACCTAAATGTAAGACCTGAAACCATAAAATTCCTAGAAGAAAACACATGGGAAGAACTTCTTGATATTGTCCTTGGCAATGATTTTTTTGGATACCACACCAAAAGCTCAGGCAATGAAAGCAAGAAATGAACAAGTGGGACTACATAAAATAAAAATGTTTCTGCACAGCCAAAGAAACAACCAACAAAGTGAAAAGACAGCCTATGGACTGGAAGAAAATATATGCAAGCCATACATTTGATAATAGCCAAAATATATAACTCACACAACTTGATGGCAAAAAGGCCCCAAAGAACTCAATTAACAAAATGGGCAAAAGGACCTGAATAGACATTTTTCCAAAGAAGACATACAGATAGTTAACAAGTATATGTAAAGATGCTCAACATCACTAATTATCAGGGAAATGAAAACCAAAACCACAATGAAATATCACCTCACATCTGTTAGGATGGCTATTATCAAAAGTCAAGAAGTAAATGCTGGTGAGGGTGTGGAGAAAAGGGAATCCTGCACACTGCTGGTGGGAATGTAACTTGGTACAACCATTATGGAAAAGAGTTTGGAGATCCCACAAAAAATTAAAAGTAGAAAACTACCACATGACCAAGTAATCTCTCCGTTGGGTATATACCCAAAGGAAATGAAATCAGTATCTCATAGAGATATATGCACTCCCATACTAAGCATTATTCACAACAGCCAAGATAGAAATACAACCTAAATGCTTATCAATGGATAAACAAATGATGAAATGTTGTTCAGCCATAACAAAGGAGATATTGCCATTTGGGACAACAAAGATGAACCTGGAGGACATTGTGTTAAGTGAATTAAGTAAGTCAAAGAAAGAAAAATACTATATAATCTCACTTATATATGGAATTTCAAAAAAAAAAGTCAAATAAAGAGAAACAGAGTAGAACAACAGTGGTTACCAGGGATGGGGAAGGAGAGGAAATGGGGAGAAGTAGGTCAAAGGGTACAAATTTGCAGTCCGGTGGGATGCATAAGCCTAGAGATCTGATGGACAGCATGAGGACCATCATTAACAATGCACTGTATACTGAAATTTAGCTCACAAGGTAGATTTTAGCTGTTTTTATCACACACATAATGAGGAGAGGTGATAAATATGTAAACCTGTTTGACTATAATATTTTGCCATATATGTGTATATCAAAACATCATGTTGTACACCCTAAATATATACAATAAAAATAAATTAAAAATAGTAAGTTGGTTGATTCAAACATAAGAAAAGAAAAAAAGCAAGGTTCAAAAGATTATTTATAGTTGCTAACTTTGTGAGATACTTGGAACAGTATGTATCTACACCCATACGCTTATTGCAAAAAGAAACATAGAAGAATCAAGAAATCTAATAAAATTTGGTACCTACAGGCATGAATGGGAACAGATTACAAACAGTAGGGAAAAGAATGAGACTTACATGATTTTACTCATTTAATTGGTGTTGAAATTTTAAATATGCCAATTTTTAAAAATCACCTTCATTGGCATGTGCTAAAATTCATCCATTTTAAGTATATATCTTGATGATTTTTCTCAAGTTTTTATATACCTGAGTAACCATCACCACAATAAAAATATGCAACTTTTCTATCACCCCAAAAAGCCACCTTTGCCCCATTATGGTCAATCCAGCCCCCACACAGAGCCACAGGCATGCAATGATGTGCTTTCTATCCACATATGTTAAATTTATCTTTTTAAAAGTTTCATATAAATGCAATCATAAAGTATGTACTCTTTGAGTTTGGCTTCTTTCACTCAGCATAATTTTTTGAGAACCACCTATACTGTTTTGAGCCTATCATTAATTTCTCCCCTTTATTATTGAATACTATGCTATTCGTTTGTAGCTAAAAGTTTGTGGCTATCCACATTTTGTTTAGCTATTTATCTGCTGATGGACATTTGGGTAGTCTCCAGTTGGGGCTTGCTGCCATGAACATTCATGTACAAGTTTTTGTGTGGACATGTTTTCATTTCTCTTGGATAAATACTTAGAGATGAAATGGCTAAGTTGTATGTTAATTGTACGTTAACTTTATAAAAACATGCCAAACTGTCTTCCAAAGTGGTTGTGTCATTTTATATTCCCACTGGCAATGTACAAAAGTTACAGTTGCTTCACATACTTGTCAACACTTTGTATGGTGGGTCTTTAATTTCAGTCATTCTGGTGTGGGTGGGTATTTCATTGTAACTTTAGTTTGCATTTCCCTGAAGACTAATGATGCTGAAAATTATCTTACAGGCTTTTAATGGCATTCCATATACCATCTTTTGTGATGTCTGTTAAAATATTTTGCCTTTTTAAAAAACTGGTTGTCTTATTATTGGGATATGAGAGTTCTCTATGTATCTTGAATTTGAGCCCATTGTCAGATATAAGTATTGTAATATTTTTTTCTAGTCTGTAGCTTGCCTTTTTGTTTTCTTAATACTGTCTATTGAACCACAGGAGTTACTATGCTTATTTTTGGATAAAACTCAATTTATCCATCTTTTACTTTTATGGTTCATGCACTTTTTGTGTCCCATGTAGGCAAAGATTACAAAGGCTAAGGTTGTAGGTATTTTCTCCTATGCTTTCATTTAGAAGTTTTTGAATTTTAGCTTTTGCATTTAGGTCTAGATCTATTTTAAAGTATTCATTTTGTGTGGAGTGGGTAAGGGTCACAATGTTACCTTTTTTACATTAGGGTATCCAGTTGTTCCAGAACCACATGATGAAAAGACCATCCTTTCCTCATTGAATTGCCTTGGTGACTCTTGTCACAAAACAACTGAACATAAATTTGTGGGTTTGTCTCCAAACTACCTAGTCTGCTTCACTGATCTGCATGTCTATCCTTATGCCAGTATCACAGTGTTTGGATTACTTTAGCTTTATAGAAAGTCTTGAAATTAGGTAGGGTACGTCCTCCATCTTTGTTCTTTTTCAAAATAGACTTGACTATGTTAGTTATTTTTCATTTGTAAACTAATTTTAGAATCAATTTGAACTTTGGTTAGGACTGCATTGAATCTATAGGTTATTTGGAAGAAAACTGACATATGAAAATAGAGAGTGTCAGATCCACCAACATGGTATATTTCTCCATTTCTTTAGGTTTTATTTAATTTCTCTCAGTGATTTTTTATAGTTTTCAGCATTCAGGTCTTGTAACATATTTTATTCAATTTAGCCTTTAGTATTTTATAATTTTGAGTTCTATTTTAAATGATGTTATATTTTTCATTTCAATTACCAATTGTTGCTGCTTGCTAGTATATAAAAATGCAATTGGTTTTTGTATATTGATTTTTGATTCCTATGACTTTGTTAAAGACAATTAGTATATTGTTGTGTTTTTTTTTTTTGGTAGAATTTTTTACATAGGTCATGTTTATTGGCATTAAGTTGTTGTAATATTCTTTTATTATTCTTTTAATGTCTGTAGGATCTGTATTAACATCCCTTCTTCTATTCTTATTATCAGGATCAGTCTATAGAGGTTTATCACTTTTATTGACTGTTTTTCAACTAACCAGCTTTTCCTTTTACTGATTTCCTCTATTGTTTTTGTACTTCCTCTTTCACTGATTTCTGCTCTCATCTTTATTATTTCCTTATTGCTTCTGCATATTTTGGATTTAATTCAAGTTTCCTTTTTTAGCTTCTTATTGTGGAAACTTAGTCCCTTGAGTTTCAACTTTTCTTCTTTTCTAATAAAAACATTTAAAGGCTTTTTTTCCCTCTTCAGTACGGTTTTAACTGCATTCCACAATTTCTGACATGCTAATAAGTTGTACTTCATTTTTATTCAGTTCAAAATATTTTCTAATTTTCTTTGTAATTTCCCCCTTTACTTCTGGAATATTTAGAAGCGTTTTAAAATTTATAAATATTTAGAGATTTTCTAGATACATGATTGATTTCTAGTTTAATTCCACTGTGATCAGAATATACACTGTATGATTTCAATCCTTTTAATCTTGCCAAGACTAATTTTATGGCATAGCATAGGGTCTATCTTCATGAATGTTTCATATGCACATAAAAAGAATGTGTATTCTGCTGTTGTAACTATGCTAATAGTTAACACATTCCAAAAAATAAATCAATAAATATGGGGAAAAATTTAAGTGGAACAAAAATAGGACCAAATGAAAAAGTAATCCAAGTAACTTTTGAACACAGTACTTAGACTTTATATGCTCAGTGTGGTATATTCTGAGGGAAAAAAATAATCTGGTAAGTTTGTTGTTAATGAAATATGGGTACAGTAATCATGAAGCTATTTTGTGTGTTACAGGACTGAGTAAATATTGAACCAAGATTTTCACTATGGGAGAAGGAAAACACAAATATGGAATGAGCGAAGGAGAAGAAGAATTCCATGGTTTTGGAATAATTGGGGGTACTGATATGAATTTATGATTAAAATGTGTATCTGTATATATCCGTATTTACATCTATCTATATTGGTATTGTCTTCTGAGGGGCCCAGAAATGATGACAATCCAACAGCAATGAGCATACCTTAGATCTTGGTTTCTAAATCCCATTAACCATGAAAAGGAACTAGCATTCCTTTAAGAAGTGGCTCTATCCAGGTTTTGGATAAGAAAAGAAAAAGGTAAACTTGCAATATCTTTTTGTGCCAGAAATTAAATTTGAAAAAATTGAAGGATTTATCAAAGGACTCAGGAGGTAATTTCATGGGACTTTAACTTGCCCAATTTTAGACAATTTGACCTTCAAAAATACTGGCTATAAGTACATGGTAATGCATTTGATTTTTAAAAAAGGATCCATGAGTATATAGAGTAATACTAAAATAAACTAATTTAAGAACAAGCACAAACTTAGTCACAGATGTGAAGGTGGGGAGGGAAAGTTCTTTCCAGAAAGATGCCAATCAGTTCTGGGAGAAACCTACAAGTAAATCCACACTTAGACTTGGGCAAACTCTAGAGTGTCAGGTTACTATAGGAGCACAAAAGAAAGGCATCTACATCAGAATGGGAGGGGTGGGAGAAGGTTTCTTAGAGGAGGTGATACCTGAAATGTATTTTGAGGAAAGGATCAGGAGCTACCCAAGTGGTACAAGTAGGTAATCACTTTCATAAATACTGACTCGGGCATAGATCATCAATGAAAACTAAAACTGGGTGAAAGGTTGTTGGCAAAAAGAATATTCACATAGTCTCAAATTGTCACACTATAGATTAAATTAGTTAAAAAGGGGTAAGTGTACTATGATGACAAGAAAATCTGGCAAACCCCAGTTTAACTGAATGACCAAATTTAATGTCACCAATTATGATAGGACAAACTGACCTCATGTGCCTCCTGATTTGACATATTGTGAGGAAAATAATATCACCTATGTAGTACTCTTGCTAAGAATGTTTGAACTGAGTGTAATCATGAGAAAATAATTAAACAAACCCAAACTAAAGGGTATTCCACAAAACAACTAGACTGGCTACTTCAAAAATACTAATATCCTGAAAGATTTAAAAAACAACTGGGAAACAATTTTAATTAAGGGAGACTAAAGAACATGACACTAATACTTGGTTAGATCCTATATTTTAAAGAAATTAAAAAAAAAGATACTGTGGAGACAATTGGAGACATCTGAGATGGGCATTAGATAATAGGATTGTGTAAGTGTTATACTTTTGAACTGAGACAATCGGATTGTGTTATATGGGGGAATGCCTTTGTTGTTAGGACATGTATATGCTGCAGTATTTAGGTGTGAGGTGTCATGATGTCTGTAGGTTACTCTCAAACAGCCCAAACAAGCTGTTTATACATGTGCTTACATAGCATATATGACAAATTTTAACCACTGGTGAATCTAGGTAAAGAGTATGCTGATCATATTATTATTCTTGCCACTTTCTATAAGTGTGAAATAAAGAGCTGGGAAAAATTAATGATAACTATAAAAAAGATATAAAATTACATATAATTTCCAAACAGCAAGAATGGAAAAAGAAAGTTAATTAATCAATCAAAGGTAATAAAGGGAATTTTATAAAGAAGTGACAAGAATGTATAACAGAAAACATCAAACAAGATGACAGAAACTAGAACAAACATCAATTTCCTCAATTACATAAATAAATTATATTTATCTAGTAAATGATAGAGGCTCTCTGATTGGATTAAAAAATCAGATTTATACTGAGATACAACTTTTTAAAAACACAGAGAATAAAAGGATCAACAAATAAAGAAAACAAAGTAGGAGTAGTAATAATATTACACAAAACAGAGTTCAAGGTGAAAAATAAATATAGGAAAGAATATTTTATGCTGACAAAATTGTATAAATCATGGAAAAAATTCATTTGTTTTTAGGAATCTAAAATAAGGCTTTGAAATACATACAGTAAAAGCCAAATTCAATTCTAAAATCACAGTGAAAGTATGAAACAATTGTTTTAGAAATCTCTTTTGGATCAACTATATAAAAATTAAGTCATGGAAAATATGAATAATCAGTTGATCAAAAGGATATGTATACAGATATGGACATAACTAACATAATACTTATGGAATGCTCTCAAATATGATTATTGTTACTGGCATTTTGTTAGGTCAGAAAAATAATGCTAATTTTTAAAATGTGATAATAGTACTGTGGTTATACAGTATTTAGAAATTAGTCCTTGCCCTTGGATACAGTATTTTATGGATGAAATGATGCAATCTCATGGATTTGCTTCAAAATAAACTGACAGGGTGAAGGAGTGTGTGGGGTATGAGTTGATACCAGCTACCACCTGGATATGGTACATGTGTACTCATTGTTCTATTTTTATTTCTGTATATGCTTGAAATTTTCCAAATTAAGACACTTCTAAAAGGAAATTTCCAAGTATTTAAAATGAAGAGATGTATATAGAGCTTATGCGTTATAGTGAGGATATTATTATATCATTATTTTGAGGGAAGAAATAGAAAATAACATTAAGGTAATGACAGGCAAATGGTTAAATGAATTATGAACAATTCAACTGTGAAATGCTATCTATATATAGTCATTCGAAAGGATGATGCACATCTTTACATATGTATACGGAAAATGCTTAGGATATGTTAAGTGGAAACCCAAGCTTCAGACCTCTCTCTCTTTCTCTGTCTCCTTTCCTATCCCTCCAGCTCTCCTAACTCCAACCCCAATACACACACAGGAATGTAGAAAAAAATAAGAAAAGATAAGTGCCAACCATTAGCAGTGATCATCTCTGGGGAGAAGAACAGAATTAATAGAGGCAGAGGGGGGTGGGTGGATGGAGAACAGTGGTCTTTCATTTTTCACTTTATATACTTCTGAATTATTTTACTCTTTTTTTCCCCCCCAACATGTGTTTTGAAATTGAAGAAATAAAAAATGTTCATAAAAAGCAAAAGAAAACTGAATTGTGATATAGCAACCTCTCTTCTAAAGTGGCAATATCATACCACTTGCACTCACCCTCTAAGTCTATTTTGTGAAAACCAGCTAACACAATTTTAGTACACATGGCTAAGAATACAATAAAAAGCACGTTTGAGTTAGGAAAGCACATTCCTCCTACCATGCTTGGCCATGATCCTGACGTAAAACCTATAATTAGCATTTTATATACACCTAACATACAACTAGCAATGACCTCCAAGGACGTATAGATCCTTGATATAAATAAAATTACTAATATCTGCTCAGATGTTTTTGTTTTCCAAACTACTTGGAGAGTCATATTCATGTTTATTGGCATGTTTAATTTGGTAGTTTTCTTGTCTGCTTTTTAACCTGGATTTAACCTTCACTTGAGCCAATTTCAAGTAGATACTCAATTTTCGAAATTCTGAAATCTCTCGAGATCTGGGAATCAGAGAACTCTTACATTGGGTCAACTCAGGTTTCACAGGGGTGTTTACAAGTTCTTCGTGGAGCATTTGTGCATTTAAAGACTACTGCACAATATTTTTTTCTATGTATCTCTGATGATAAAATTCCTCTCCTAATTCCTAGATTGCACCACCTTTTCCGCTATCGTAACTTCTGAAATCCTCTACTTCCTGTTTCCATCTGAACCCCGTCTGGCTGGACATTTCAAAACCCTTCCCACAGCTCTCTAGACTTTGGCATATGGGGATCTTCATGTCTGGTTTCCCTTCTTCACATTTCAGCTGAAAGCAGCCTTCTCCTATGCACCTTCCTGGATTAACCGTGCCAGCTCTTGGGGTCAGCAGTGTATTTGATTAAACTAGACGCTGGGGATATAACAGTCAGTAAGATGCTCCTCCCCTCAAAGAGCTAAGCGGTCTGGTCTGGGAGGCAGTAGCAGCAATGAGGACCTTGCCCCTCTTGTGTCCCAAGGTTTTATTAAAATCTAGTTGATTTGTGGGGAATCCACATGTGGGCGCAAATTCCCTTTTGTGATTCTGGGAGCAACCTGCAGAGAGAACCCTTTCTGCTTTTTAACCTAGGGCTAACTCCCCACTGGGGTGAAGTACTCACCTAACTAAGACTGGGATCTTGGGCATCTTCTTGGAGACTTTAAAGAAACTTGTGTCCCCTTTGTTGTCAGTGAAGTACACACCAGCCACGCTGGTCACGAGGTTCCCAGGGAATGTGAACAGCACCCTTTCATCTTCGCCCTGGTTGGCCCAATCCCAGGCCTGGCCTCCCATGAGCAAGCCCCCTCCACGTTTCATAAACTGGACCAGCTTTTCAGTCATGGTTTCATTGTAGGCATCGATACAGTAAACCCCCAAGGAGTCTTTCACTTCTGGCTCAATCTTTGCCTCCACTCCAGAGCCCTCAAGGATTTTGGCCAAAGGTGCCAGGGATGGGTGTACACCAATGGGAGCCCCAGGGGAAGAACAAAGCCACCCCACTGCATTGAGGAGAAAGGGAGTAAGCTGGGTCTCCGCCAAGTAGTCCTCATGGGACACGACCACCAGGCGGCCTCGGCCGTAGGAGGAGGCAGCAATGAGCACCTGGCCCATGTCATTCACCATCACTGGAAATGAGGCCTCTCCAATAAGAAGCAGTTCACACGGGATGGCATCTTCGGGGACATCCCAGCTTGTCACTCCATTCATAAGCGCCTCAAAGGCAGCAGAGGGAGTCGCCATGGTTCTGTTTGTTTCTATAGGGAAGAAAGCAGAGAGTCAGGTTGGTGAAGAACAGATAACCAAACAAAGAAACTCCTCTACTAGCTGGGGGGTTCTCCCCACTATGCAGATAAAATAGACCCTGAGAAAGGACTCAAGCACTCTGCGTTAGTGCCTGCAGTCCAGGAGAACTCACTGTGCTCTGTCCTCTTAAACTCTTGTGGTCAAACTTAGAGAACTTAACACTTTTTAATGGAATGAAACAAACAGAAGGGAGAGATGAGAGTGGAATTATGTTTCTCAAAGAGATATTTTGAAGTCTTGACTCCTAGAACCTGTGAATGAGACTTTATTTGGAAATAGGTCTTTGCAGATGTAATCAGGTTAAGATGAGGCCATCCTAGATTTGGATTGGCCCTTGCCCAGTAACTGGTGCTCTTAAAAGGAGATTTGGACACAGAGAGACACAGATACACAAGAAAATGCTTCAAAGATGGAGGCAGAGACGGGAGTGATTATCAACAAGCCAAGGAATGCCAAGAACCTCTGGCAAACACCAGAAGCTAGGCATGGACCAGATTCTGCCCTGAAACTGCCAGAAAAAAACTACACTGCTGACACTTGGATTGCAAACTTCAAAGCCTCCAGAACTGTGAGATAATCAATTGCTGTTATTGTAAGCCACCCTACTTGTAGTAATTTGTTACACCAGCCACTGGGAACTCATAAAGTGGTGCTGCACATTGTCCCCTCGACCCTGGCCCATTCCATCTATCTTGGCTTCCCTGCTGGTCTTATTAAACTCAGTGTGGAGAACTCAGAGTCTCTGTCTGAAAAGTCTGGGATCTGAGAGAAGGTTCTTTGGTCAAAGTTACAGGCTGGTAAGAGGAAAGTGGAAGCCTCTGTGGCTTGAATGCAAGTCTCAGACGACCACAGGCAGAAGGTAACAAGTTATGAAATTATGGCAGATTCTTACTTGTACCTGGGACACAACTGAAAAAGGTGTATGTGTCTGGGGATGTCAACTCACAAATATCTCTGCTTCTTCACCGTGAGCTCCTCCCTAAGGATGACTACCGCCCTATCTTTGCTGCATGCACTGTACTGAAACAGTTCTACCAAGGACAGGCATGTTTCATCGTGGGCATCTCATCCTCACTGACCGCTCAGCAGCACTAGACATCACTGCTCTTCCTGTCCATGAGGTCACACCACCTCTAATAGTGTGGCCCAAGCCAACCTCTTTCTTTTCAACCTCTGGAATCACTTACTTTCTGACCTCCCCTCACCTCTTCTTGGAATATGTGAATAGTCCTTAAATTTGTAATCTTTGCCTTGTACCTCTTCTCTATTTCCCTTGTCAGAGAACATACTTGCTCTTAAGTAACACCCAAACTGATTACAAACTCAGGCTCTGGATGTATGGCTGTCTGGGTTTCAATCTCAGCTCTGCAGCTTACTAGTCGTGAGACCCGGGCAACACATTGCAGACTTAGTGTCTTTATTTATTAAATAGGGAAAAGAGTATCTACCATATATGGTTATCCTGATTAGAGGATTAACACAGGATTAGAGAAAGTAACACAGGTTAAATGTCTTTTCATCAGTATTCAATTACATATAGCTATGTATATGTATACATCTACCCATGTATGCTTATAATTATTTGGTTAAGAATAAACCTTTTAAATATATGAATAATAGAGATTTCTTGCAAAGTGAAAAAGAGATCTAACTTAACATTAGGATTGAGTATTCATTGATTCTCATTTCATAGTTTTCATATTTTAAAGCCAAAACTAAATACTAATGCTAACCATTATTGTATTTATTTCTCAAGTATCTCTATGGGCCCTTGAAAAAGTCCTTGGCATAGGCACTGTGCCTCCCACAGGCCACAGCTGGAAAGGCCTTGGTCCCAAGATGACTAATACGTTCAAGATTCCCACTGAAAGCACACTGGCCATTTATAGCTGGTCTCTAAAACTAAAGAAGTCTTGAACTTATTATTTTTCTTCCAAATTAGCTCCTCTAAGGTAAATTACATAAGCTTGATGCTTCTAGTAGTTAAACAGAAGCATTATCTACCTACCTACCTACCTACCTCAGGAAACTACAGAGAAGATACAAGCAATGAGCACTTGGTTAGTAAGAAGCTTGTCTCTTCCCTGCTCCTCCTGGTGTCCACAAATAACCTGGACAGCAAAGTGCACAGGGTCACAGTATGTCCCTGTCCCTTCTCACTCCTGTTCTCATATCCAGCTGGTCTCAAGTCCTGTCAGTGTCTGTGTTCACAGTTTCTAATCACACTGTCCTTAACCTAGTTTAGGTCCTTAGTAATTCACACCTGGACTAAACCAATCCAGTTTCTAAGTCCCTAGGATCTGTTCCCACCTTTACTCTTCTAAAACCACTCTGCCATATTATTTCCCTGAAGAGAATCCTCCCTCCCTGAGCATTCCACCTTCCCCCACAGGGACTATCTCACGCCCTCCTGTTCGAGTGTGAGGCCTCTGAACTGGATGTCCTTATGTTTCCCAGCCTTATCTCCTACTGCCTTCTTTCCTGCATCTCCCAGGTCACCTGGCGTCCCTGGACATGCCCTGCTTCCATTTCAGATTCTCTTTCCATTCTTTTCTTCCTGTTCCCTCTCCCACATCTTTCTAGCTATGGAAATCCTATCTTTCTAAGAGAAGATAAGCACAGAAGAAGAAATTTAAATGATCATTTCTATGAAAAGATACTCAATGTTACTAGTAATCAAGCAATGGAAAATATAATGTATGTTGCCCATAAAATTATAAAACAAACAAACAAAGAACTGGGAGAAAAAGGAGGAGGAGAAGAATAAGAAGGTGAAAAGATGGAGGAGACGACAAAGGCAGCTAATAATGTCCAATGTTGGAAATGCTATGAGGACACCATCACAGTCTGCTGGAAGGAAGAGTACAGGCAGAGAATGTCTGTACTCTTTTTCAAATGCAATCTAATGGTGCCAACTGAGTTTCAAAGGTGTGCCTATTCTCAGACCCAGCAAACCCTCTTCTAACAACCTTTCTTACAGAAATAAAAGCAGCAGTAAGTATTAAAGACATATGTACAAGGATGCTAACTGCCACACAAAACAACAAATGGAGATAAATGAAAACCTAGAAATAAAGATAGATTCACAAGGAATCTTTCCCTGAACCATTTTTGATTCTTGAAGGTACAGGATTTCTAACCCAAACCCATATCTATCCAACTTCCACATGCCCCCAGATACTCCGTTATACTGGGGCATGGCCCCCGGCCTCCTACCTATGCACCTCATTAAAAAGCTACCCTTTAGTCCCCCCTCTCTCTTGGCCTCTGCTACTTCCATTGCTGACACACCAAGCACACCCAGGACAGGGAACTCACATTTCTGTCTCATTAGTTGTTTTCTGAGCTAGTTCAAGGACAAGTTAAATCTATTCAGCATCTGCATAGAAGAATATCTGCAATACATTTTATTTTATTTTTATTTTTTTTATTTTTTTGAGTCAACGTTAGTGAGAATGCAATACATTTTAAGTGGAAATTTCAAGTCACTATAATATGTAGGAAACGAGCACATTTTTGTGTGGACAAAGATAATGATAATAGTTGTCGAAACTGTACTAGTAGTAGTAGTATTAACAACACAATGTTTACCAGGTTCCTGGTTTTATTATAAGTGGTTTAGGTAACTTATTTAATCCTGATGATAAACCCATGAGGTATATACTGTCACTATACCTGTTTTATAGATGTGCAAAAAAACCCCCAAAAAAACAAAAAAACAGAACCCAAACCCTGGTGGCCAGAGAATTTCTTACTTCCTCAAAGTCACATAGGTGGTAAGTGGTGGGTATAGGATTCAAGCCTAGGAGATCTAATGCTCAGGTCCACATTCTTAAGCACCAGGAACATATAAGTACCTGTTAAATACCAGGCTTTTGTATGCACAGAAAATCTTTACAGGCTGCACTTTAACATGCATCATTGATTACATTAGGAAGGGAAATGATGAATAGTTTTCTTTGTCTTTATACAAATCTGCATCCTTTGAACTGTTGTATATATTACTACTACAATTAAAAAGAACACTGAGGTAATATAAATCCAATCAAGTTAACACATTCAATGATTAAGTACAGTATATAAATGATGAGATAGACGGACCAACTGATCCTATCTCACTAGCCCTAAAAAGTCTTCCTTCATCTCCCATCAGGTTGTGCATTTTCCCCACCTATAAATTTGATTTCCTCCTCTGTGGGGGCTCCTTGAACTCTGCAACAATTATGTTCTCCCTTTACCCAGCTGTCAGTAACTCTAATGCTTGACTTTTGAACCAAATGCCTTCTTTTTATTCCTGAATCCCTGTTTGCTCTCCTAGCTTGGGGAGCCCAGATGAATACAACCTGGGGGAAATTCCTTTTATTTTTCTCCCTAACCTCTTGTGGTTCCTGCTTTCTCTCCCCGGGGCCCATTCTGGCCCCTTTTAGCTTGCTGGTATAAAAGTCACCTCCAAAGCAGAAGGCACCGAGGCACAACCTGTAACTCAGAGAGAGAACAGAGCTACTCCTATCACCAAGCAGCAGCAAGCCACCTAAATAAGGTTTTCCTCTTAAGAGATGTAAGGAAGGGAAGGCGGGTGGAGGGCCATCTTGGATTCTGCACCACGCTTATCCTGTAGTATAGTTTGATTTCAATATGTGTCAGAGGTGAGATAATGTGTTTTATTCTGTGGATGAACAGGTACTCTATGGCTGGATGATTGAATGATGGATGTAGGTGTAAAGGTAAACCTAGGATTATTTCTTCAGCAAATAACTAGCCTGACCTTGAAAACTGATCAATATCACAGACATTCAACTCCATGTCTTCTTTTCATGTGGTTTCCTTCCATGAATGTTTTTTCCCTTGTACATCCAATATCTTTTCCAATGTTCATCAACTTCTACTAAGCCAGAATTGAGGCTAGTTCAATCTCTTCTTCTGCATTCTGTCCTAGACATTCCCAGCTCAG